AACTACTACATTAACTCTTTCCAATCTGTAATGGATTCTTGTATACACTACCTTCAACCATGCATATTTTGGAGAAAGAAGAATTATTTAACTGAGAAACAATGCATGCAAGTTCTGTATTAGTTTTATACAGACAAAATCCTAACAAGACTGTATAAAATAAACTGCTTTCTGAGACAAAATTACTATCTGTTCATAGTTTTGTGGGCCACGCATTATCCACTGAAAATAAAATGTGATCCCCTTTTCCATCAATTTAACAGGTTCAAATTCTCCTTTTATGAACCCTTGTTTTTTTCACATTTTATACATTACTTAAATTATGAGCGTTATATTTAATGGAAAGGTCCTCTTGATGGTGTCAATGGTTTTAAATAAGTGGTACATCACAGAAAAAGCCAAGTTTAACAATTCACATCTCAACATTGGGCAGACCCATTATTCTCAAAAAAGTAATTACACCCCGAGTTTAATTTCAGTGTCTACCATATCCTGTTTATCCTGTTATTAGTTTGTGAACAATGTGCTTTATTCTAAAGCACAGAAACAAAGAAAAGTTGTTTCACAATACCAATATTAGGTTTACACACCACCAGTTGGGCTTATTCCACTTTGCAAATAACTGTTTCTATTCTGCATTTCTTCCCTGTCATGAGAAAAGGTTGACTTCTGCTGCAATATTTATATTAACACATGGAGAAAATTTAATTATAAATCTATGTCTTAAACCTAGGTGCAGAAAGTTGTAATTTCTTAATCCTTATATTTTCCTTCATAAATACATTACCAGAAGACATACAGTGGGCCCCTACAAGGAAAATAATCAATATATTATTCAAGATACTTATCATTCATTTCATTTAAATATAACAACTATAGTATGTTCAAGATTGTGATACAATTTTTGGGGGAAAATTCGTTTTTTAATTCCCTATCCATAGTGTTCAATTAATTTGTCTGACATGATCTTACATATGAGAGAAAATGATGTTCCCATTTCATTTACCTAGACACACATTAATATACTTACAAGAGGTTTACAAAATGTAATCATGTGATGAAATACTTTCAATTTGTGTCACCTATGCCTGCTTGCATGAAAAGGGATATTTCCAGTATCAACCTAAGGACATTTTCCCCTGAAAGTATATTATTTATTGATGGAATACATATGTGTGAAGGCTCATAATACCTTCACAACGGTAAACACATTCTGATCATAGACATATCCCTAGAACTTCTTAAATTTTTGGCAACTGTCATGTTTCATTTGGTATTCCAGAGCTTCTGAATAAGAAACTACTGTGTATAATCAAGGTTTTCAGCATAAGCTTGCATTTCTTTTTAAACGAGCTTGTGGTAATGTCAAGACATTAAAGTGGGTATATCGTAAAAGAAGCTATGTATGAACATAGTTTCTCATTCGTCTGAATTGTCAGAAGAGCTGCACTTAACTTTCCAATCTACTCATTAGCATCAGAATATAACAATGTCAAGTAATTTTATATGCATGAAAATACCCTACTAACTGCAACAACCACTATTTGGTATACCTTTCCATAGTAATGATATCAAAGGAAATCTTGAGCTTCCTACAAATTTATAAGTAGAAATCACTGGACTCATGAGTTGGTCTCGGAAATTATGGAGGAAGTGTGCTAACGTTCATGACATTCCTCTCTCCTATTCGTTAAATATTTCACTCCAGATTTCAAAGTGCTAAGAAATCTTTCAAGCATATTTTCCTTTCATAATGATATATATACCAAAATTCAGTATTTTACCAAACCTTGATAAACACTGAACAACCTTCACTTATGCTTCTTAAAAATATTCTTAGCTTTAAGGGTGGTTTTCTTATCTCTTCTCATCGCCTATTATTTGTATCTTACCCTTTATCACCAGTATCCTGTTCCAGTACCAATCTATACTAGTTAACTGTACACAATTCACTCTCTTCTAATACATTCAGTCACAGCCTTAGCAGGCAGGAACGTTACATCATTTCACTGCCAGAAGCAAGAAATACAACACTCTCATACATTATCTGTAGTAAATAATTTCCATTCTACTGTTCTTACCTGAATTTTAACATTAAAAAATTAATAAACCTTCCATACACCAGTGCAAATGAATATACAAGATTAATAAGAATAAACCAATTATGCAATGTGCTTATCAGTACTAACCACTTATTAGATTCAACTTTAATTTAAAATGAAATCAATATTAATATAAAAGTCTAAAAAATCTACAAAAACAGAAACTGGTATTTTCTGATCAATTAGGAATACACACTTCTAAATCCCTCAGTATTTCAGAACTGGCAAAAAGATTTCAAGTCAAGGGTAAAGGTACCAGTGCTGAAAAAATGCAATGCTTGGCCAGCTGGAACACTCATGCACCACTACAACAGCCCACTGCACAGCCAATAAAGGTCAATATCCACAGAACATAAGAACTGGAAGGGAAGTGAAATGGGAGAGTCTAACAGGATGATGATGTGGCAACACTAAAAACTACCGATGAAATAAAAAATTACAAATACATGCTCGTTTCATGGTACACTACTGTTTCTCTTGGCAAAAAGTAATTAAAATTATCAAAATGTGAAACTTATATAACTAACATCAGCTGTATGGAGTGGAAAGATATTAAATTGGTGAATCTGGGAAAGATTCAACACCAATTGAAAATAAGTAACTAAAACACAACATACAAATTGATTACGCAAATCAAGATTTCATTTTTGCTGCTCCTAAACTACATTCACTGGCACTGTTCACTTCATTGCAAGCTTGTACAAGTCAATAAATATATACATTCCTGGCTGCTAAGGTCATGCCCCACCTTCCTGTTTTCCCTTCCATCAGACTTCATTCCTTGGCAAATCGTACTTTTAGAGGTACATCATATGAATACAATGTATATCTTTGTAACAATATAACAAAATATAGAAAAATAGATTATCGATTTTCTTCATATTCTTCCTTCACTTTTTAAATAATTCTCTTTAAATAGTTTTGTATTCAGTGTTGTTGTTTCACAAGTCTCCTGTTCCATTTTAACAGCCATACACATGTCCAGTTATGTAATGAGTAAAGCACACTGATATATTCATCACCTACAACTAACACTCTCCAAGTCCATGTTTTCTTTCCTTGTTAACAAAAATGAGCTTCACAATCCCTGAAGAATGTTTTCCAAGGTATGTGCACTTTCTTGAAATTGAATACACAAAAACCACACATTAAAGAGTCTGCTGCCTCTCTCTTGCTGCTCAACTGATGAACTTCTCACATGTCAATTCCCATGCAGTGAAACATGTAACACTATCATTAACAACTTACCTTCCTCATTGTGTTACTTTACAGTTCTGAGTGGCCATTTTAAGTATTTAAAACCAAGTCATGCTTTAAGCTTTTATCATGGAAGATCTGCTACCCTTAACTCATGACTCAACAATCCTAATATATTGAAGTCATTACAAAGGGGAAAAACTGTAGATGTTTCCATGTTTATTCACATGCACTTAGTTTGTTCAGTTCAACAAATAACACCTTCATGGGCAGTTTATGTGAATGAAATGCTGAACACGTATTTATATGATGTAAATTTGCAAATTCTGCAAGTCTCAATGTCACAGTAAACCAATAAGTCCAGTAAAAAAAAATATATACATATATCCATCTGAACACAGATTTCAACTTTGTGTGTTCCATTTCATAAAACTGAACTCTCTAATATTTAAGTCATATTTTACAGAAGACCACTTAGTTAATTTAATATTTTGCAATTCAGTTAAAAGATGCAAAATATCCATTTAAAGCTGTCATTCTGTTTGATGGTATCACATGGCATATCCAAAAGAAGACTGAACTACAGACACTTCTTGGTGGAAGCAATGTATGAAATAAAATTCTATATAAAATATTCTCCCTTGAAATGGTGACCAAAATTTTGATATAATTTATCCATTATAACTTTTTCCTCTGCAATAGCAATTAAATATGACTTCCAAAATCCACTAGTCCTAACATTAAAATATCCCTTCCAAGCACATCAAGAATGAATGAAGTTACATTTCTCTTCATAACCTCCATTCTTAAACATCTGGAATACAAATATGTAACCGGTACTGTGACTGTGAGTTATCTTTCTTTTCAAATGTAATTTCACTTTAACAGATTATAAAAAGATAAAACAGTTCCGTCCTGTGTGACTGGTGAAGATTTTTCTTATTTCAATTCTTCATGCCCTTACATGTTTCAGTCCTTAGAGACCATCGTCAGAGGGGCATCGATACAGTTTGGAAACCACTATTACAATAGGTGTTCTGAGTGTTAAAATATATATACATACAATGCTGACAATACATAAATGGATACAAAATCCAAAGTTTCCATAACTACAGTGGCTGTCTTGATATATTAAAAATTTTGTTTGTTAAGTTAGAATTTATAAACCAAATTGGTTCATGTCCTCTCTCTTATCACCTCTTCTGATGGGGACCAAACTTGTGTCGCCTGTCTTTCTTGAAAGGAAGGTTCTTTGATGTCATCCTGTGTTTGTTCATGTTGCTGTTATTTAAAAAGAAAACAACACAGCAAGCTACAAACAACCACAGGACAACATCAAAGAACCTTCTTCTCAAGAAAGACAGGCGGCACAAGTTTGGCCCCTGTCAGGAGAGGTGATAAGAGAGAGAGGGCACGAACCTATTTGGTTTATAAATTCTAACTTAACAAAATTTAAAAAAATTGTAATATATCAAAACAGCTGCTGTAGTTGTGAAAACTTTGGATTTTGTATCTATTTGTGCATTGTAAACATCATATGTATATATTTCAACGCTCAGAACACCTACTGTAATAGTAGTTTCCAAACTGTATCGATGTCCCTATGACGATGGTCTCTAAGGACCGAAACATGTAAAGGCATGAAGAACTGAAATAAGAAAAATCTTCACCAGTCACACTGGATGGAACTGTTTTATCTTTTCATAATATTGTTAGTGTGATGGACCAGAATGAAACAAATCAAATTTAACATAAATATTTATTATTTATAACTATTAAAATGTCCTTTTGAAACAGAAAAGGCAAAGCAAAAGAAACTGGATATATACAAACAACCTCCACCCATTTTGGCTACACTGATGAAGAAAAAACATTGAAATATCTCAACCATATAATTCTGCACATCATTTTAAACTGACAATTTACAATTTTAAAACTTATGCCTCCATAAGACATAACTAGCCACTGTTATATTTAAAAGTATATAAAGAGGTAAAATTCAATTCTGAAAAGTCAGTTCTTAAAAACATTCTCTCGTATTAACAGGAATTTTCAGATTCAAACCTGCCAGTAAATTTGTAGAAATAATATGAATTGAGCACTGAACATGGAAGATCTCCTTTTGAACAATTTCTGTAAATTCATTAAATACTACAGAAATTTCTAATGTATTTTAGTGCACATTTTACTAATCAATTAACTGACTTTTGGGCCTCTCTGTATTAATTTTAAGACAAGGATTTTTTAGATAAAATGAATGCCATACACTAAAAGTACAATCCATAAACAATCACAGCATCCTCACAAAGTGGCATATTGAATCCAAATCCTAAAAATAAATTACCATCTTCAAGGATATAGAGCCATGCAGTATGGTGAAAGTCAACCAACATTCTGCAGGAGCATATCACCTCCATCTTCTGGGTCTAAGAGCAATGTTCTACTTGCTGCCTGCTTCATGATGGTTTCTTGCTCAGCTTACTCTTAAAACCCTGAAGATGGAGGTGATAACCTCCTCCCAAACGTCAGCCAACTTTCACCAGACTGAACAGTGTTATGTCCCAGAAGAGGGAACTCTTCATGGCCACTGCTGTGAGAATCTCAAAACCAACTGCAGTTACAAATTTTAATTTTCATCAAGTCCCCCACACTGGAGACAAATTTCTTTTATTGTTTCAGTCACATCAATCCCAGTACATAAATGTACCAAAATAGTCAATAACTTTAAAAATCAAACTGAGGAAGGTGTAATTTTGCATACTGAAGCAAATGTATTAGAAACATTGAGGTGTTAATTCCATCTCCTTTTGGACACATGCTTTACTACAAACCTTAATTTTCAGAAGTTGGTACTCCTGCTAATACTGATGTAGCTGACTCATTGCCTTGGCCTTTATTTTCAATACCATCTACAAGGGTTAGGGAGATTTCTACATCTTTCGGTTTTTTAAGACTAGAGGAGTCACATTTATCAGGAATGGCTATTATGGTAGCTGCAGGTGATACATCATCAAACTGACCAGATGCCACTTTGTTTGTTCCCTTGCTAGAATCTCCACTAGGCCGGTTTACAACTCCACTTCCACCAGAAAAACCAACGTCATTATTGAGGAAGTCTGATGCAGGAAGTGCGGCACTGTAAACAGCAAGAACTGCTATTGACTTATCTGGTTTCTGCAACCCTGAGGTTACTTAATAAATTACAACCAAACAATTAACCATAAAATACTAATTAAATGGTGTGTGTGATCATATATTATCCCAAACCCAAGAATCAATTATGAACTACTCATTTAAAAATATCTCCACTCGTACATCCTCCTGTAGTTACTGATGGGATCTTAATTATTATAATATTCTTTGTTTGCAAACTATTTGGCTTAATGCTGCTTAAATCAGAGAAAGGTAAACTTCATAACTCTTACCCACTGTTTGGTGCTTCTACTGTCATTCCTCGGCCCTTGCCCTTCTCTGAATCTCTGTGAATTATTTTTTTGCTGCCAGAAGAACTCTTCCGTTTGTTGCCACCAGCCTGTAACAAACATTCAGGCACACCTCTCAAACCTGGGGTTACCTAGCTCTGGTAACACTGGCTACTAATAAATGTTCAACATCACAAACTTAGCTGAAATAATATATTTATTAGACATATGTACTACAATTTTACATAAGTTCTGTGAGAATTTTAAGGCACTCATTTTAATCAGTTTTATAGCAAGAATTTGAGTAGTCAAATATATTATGCCAAAAGGCTAGTAAGATAATTTACAAGGGTGAGTCAGAAAGCATCTTCATTTTATTTTTATTAATTAATACAATTACACTGAGTATATACAGTAGCATCATTCTACGATACAGTTTCCTTTCTTTTCAACACACTTAGTCCAACAGTTCACAAGTTTCTGTATGCACTAAGAAAAAAATATTTTGGGTTCATTGACAAGCCATGTGTGCACCACTTCTTTCACTTCTCTGTCATTGGCAAAATGACAGCCTGTTGAAGTGTCTCTGAACGGATCAAAGTTCAGTTGGTGGATGATTTCAATGGTGTGGGTGGCAGTGTGGGGCTTGGCATTATCATGCAACACTGCAACATCTTCATATGAAGTCCTCAGTGTTCAGTTTGAATACCTGGTTTCAACTGGTCCTGAAGCACTTCACTGTAGTGCCCCACTCTTGGCAGTGTTCCAAAATTGATTCTTGTGCATCCCAAAAAAGTATCATCGCTTTTCCTAACAACCGTTAAGTTCTGAACTTCCTTTCGAAAGACGATGCCAGATGCTTCCCTTCCATACAGTGGGCTTTGCTTTGTGGAGCATAATGGTGGATACACATCTTGTCCTCAGTGGCAACGCATCTCTAAAAAGTGTCACCTTCATTACGACAGTGATTCAATATGCCTTTACAGACTGTCAAATGGCTGTGTTTGTGCCCTCTTGTGAGTTGTTTTGGAACCCATCTTGCAGAAAGTTTATGAAACACAAGTTAATCTTGGATGATTCTATGAGCAAAACCATAACTGCAGATGATGCTCTTCACTGATAGTCACTGTTGACTACCCAGAATCATGGCATAGACTTCTTCAATATTTTCCTTTGTGGTCATTGTGGATGAACATCCTATCACTGTTCATCGGTGATGCTTGTGCAACTGTTCTAGAACATGCTTGTCCATTCATACACACTTTTCTGCAGTAAAGCTCTGTTTCCATATGGCGCTGAAACACTGAGGAGTTCTGCCCCCGATACACATTCAGCCCACAAAAATTGTATCATTGCACATTGGTCTTCTATGGTGTATGTGGAAAGCAGAGTGGCCATGTTAACTCTGCTATGACAGTCCAACCAGCCAGTCAATGTCAAAAGTATTTAAAAATAATTTAGGGAGTTTGTGCTCCCACCTGCACACAAAATACACACTGCGGACAATGCAACAAACTTTAAAATACTGTATTTACCCATGTATAGGCCGCACATTTTTTGCCAAAAATTCAAGAGGAAAACTGGGGTGCGGCTTATATTCGAAATCACACTTCATTTAAAAAAAATTATATTCATAATTAGTAATACAGACTGTTCAAAGATCGAGGAAACCGGTGCAGCAGCGTAGAGCAGATGGAACGTTTCTCCACGACTACTGTGCCCCTCCCCGCTAGCGAGAGTGCAGTCGTGTCGCTGATACCCTTACATCAGTTTCTGTACATGCACACATTTATAAGAATACTGTAAAAAGATAACACAAACTTACCGTGCTTTATAACAGGTGCTGAAAGTGACCCCCTTCTGCTTGCAAACATGCTTCGCATCGCATGAATAAATTATGCAACACTTTCTGAAGTTGGTCCATGGTAAATGAACCATATTACTGTTCATCACTTGACTCGTTACTGTTGACGTCGCTCTCACTCGAAGTTTCGCTGTCAGGTGATGTCAGCCATACAGCGTCATCTTCAGTCCCGTCCATTGCGTTGGAAATGGATGTGACTTTAAAACTTTTGGAAACCATTTCTTCTGGTATGGTGTTCCATGCAGCCACAATCCACTCACACATTTGACTTAATGAAGGTTTCTTCAATCGTCCAGTCGGCGTCATCTCCGTGGAACCGCATCTCCAGTCCCGGTAAAAGCGCCGCAAATGAGACTTGAAAGGACGGTTTATTGACACGTCAAGTGGTTGTAACATGCCAGTCATCCCCCCTGGTATCACAACCATGTCACTTTTCTCCTGCCTCATCTTCACTTTCACATTTTCAGTTAAATGGCTTCGAAAACTGTCAACCACTAACATTGACCGCTGACGTAAAAGTGCGCCTGGGCGCCGAAACCACACTGATTTCAACCAATCCAGATAGAGCTCTTCTGTCATCCATCCTTTTTCTTGAACTCTCACCAAAATTCCCGGTGGAAGCTTTTCTTTCGGCAATGTTTTGCGTTTGAAGATTACAAATGGTGGTAGTTTGTTTCCATCAGCAGTGATACCAAGCATTACGGTACACCGCTGCTTTTCTGCTCCTGCAGTCCGCACATACACTGTTTTTCCGCCTGCTTCGTTCACTGTACTTTCACCCGGCATTTCAAAGAACACAGGAGTTTCATCAACATTTCCAATAGCTCCCATGGTGTAGTTGTGCGTCTTTCTTAATTTCAGGACATGTTTTTGAAATGCAAGCAGTTTCTCCTGGTATGTGTCGGGAAGGCGCTGCGCTATTGACGTCCGTCGCCGAATTACAAGATCATGTCGGGCCATAAAGCGCCTTGCCCATCCATAACTTCCCTTAAATTCATTACGAGGAATTTTCATTCTGTCCGCTATTTTGAGGCCTTCAAATTGAATCATTTCCACAGACACTGAAAATCCATCCGCCCGTGTATTACGCACGTATCGCAAAAGTTTATTTTCAAGTTCTGGAAATTTAGCTTTCTTTCCGCGGAAAGATTGTCGATTTTGTGACGTTTTTTCAAGGGCATCTTTCGTTAGTATCCATCTTCGCACATTTTTTTCGTCAACGTCGAATTTTCTCCCTGCTGCTCGATTTCCGTGTTCTTGTGCGTAACGCACCACTTGAAGTTTAAATTTAGACGTATAACCTGCTCTTACTCGACCCATGTTTCACTCAGAACTAACCAGGCAAGTCAAGTAAAGGCGAAAAGGTTATAACTCTCCCCCGCAATGCCTTTGTTCCGAGCGGTACCATTATTTTCGCTAGTTGCGAACTTAGGAATGTTAAACGTTGCCAAATTTTGGAATAATTTCTACTCCTGAAATAATATTCCAAGAAAATTATTTTTCCTATAATTTCTGTCTGAAAATTGTGCTGCGGCCTATACATGCGTAAATACGGTAATTCAAACTGTGGTACTTAAGAAGACCCTGATAACAACAATTGAGAAAAAAAAAAAACGTATCTAACAGCACCCATGCTAAAGAAGAAATTTTCATCCAACCAGAACTACTAAGAGAACAAAGAGAATCAGAAGAAGCAATTTTAAATAATAAATTGACTCAAAGTTGAGACAAGAGAAAGAAATGAATCAACGTCAAAGATCTTCATTTACTGGCGTACCTGTATATGACGATTTTAAAACTAATGAAGATAACACCTCCATAAACACTTTTCAAATTTCTTTTTGGAGGTGAAATCTTTGGAATCATTCATGATGAGACCAATAAGTACACACAACAGACATATAAGAGAACTAAACAAGGCTTTCTGAAACCAAAATTAATGTATGTACCATGACAACCTGTTATATAGTAAAACATATAAAAAATCTTTGCTGTCAATACATGTGTGTTTGGTGGGTACACAAGGATTCTAGTTAAGGGTCTTTTAGACTGAGGAATGTTTCAAGAGAGCTTTTAAGTTATCTGGTTATGCTGTATCTGAATAATGAGAAACAAGCATTAAAATGTCAACTGAAGACTATTACCAGTTATATTTTTGCAAATTTTGAAAATTTAATGAAAATGTGTCAAGAAATATACACGTCAGATGAATACCTCAGGTCTGAAATGTGTACTCTTCAAGAGTGAATAACTTTTCCTGTCTCTTTATATGGAAAACATCCCAAAGATAGTAACACTATTATGAATGCCAACTAGTTAACACTTAAGATGCTACAGATTTTACAAATTTCTTTACATATCAATGGCTTAAAGTTTCATAACTGTCAACCACTAAACTAAACACAACTTCACACAACAGTACCTGGTTCTTCTTAGCTCTGACAGCACCAGCCGAACTCTTGCCAGATCCCCGCGTGTGAAAAGTAGGGCGGCCAGTGGCACCAAGAGATGCCACATGGTATCCTGATATAACACTGCTCTGTCGGTATGTCTTCAAACCACCAACTGATGTAACCTAAGACACAGTTTCAAGAGAACTAAACACTCTGTTGCATGGGCAATAAAAGAAACAAAATAATGTGACCAACGTTTCAACACTGGAGAACAGTATTCTAACTTGCAACATACACACTTTGCAAATTTGGCCTTAGCAATTCATCTCATTCCATGACCTTGTTGTCTATTTACTGTAAATACAAACCTTGCAAATAAGATGACTATAATGTATTATTACGTCTCACAATAAGATCAATAATTACTGATAAAAATCTCGCGCAGTTTCCTTTTTCTCTCAACTAAGCTGAACACATTCCCTTCCAGCACACTTTCTTATCTGAATGTACCATACTGTCACATGTACGAGTGAATAAGGGCAGGGCGTGGATTGGTAATTGCATTTACTGAACATTTACAGAGCATAACTACAAGCAACTACAGCACTATTGCTAATTCACACACTCTGCAGTTCATTACAAAACAAAAAACAAACAAATTCTGTGGTTTCAGTCTGCAAGCGAACTATACCAACTGAGCGACTGTCACTTGTCGGCAAAGTTAGTGCCAACTTTAGCAGATAGAGGGTGTCGTGTGGTCGGTGCAACAAATCTCCACAGCCGTTAACTTCGGTATTCTAGACCACAGCTGCTGTTTCCTTGAAACAGCTCCTCAGTTATCCCCACGAGGCTGAGTGGACCCCATTCCAGACCCACTACTTCTCAGAAAATCTGGTAGCGGCAGGAATCGAATCCAGACCTCTGGATCTGTAGCCGGGAATGCTGACCACTAGATCACAGAGGCAGTCGCAGTTCATTACAGCACATACCAAGTCTTCTCAGTCTGGTGTGTCTTCAGCAGTCGTCTGGTAATGGCTTCCAATGCCGTAGATCCCTCAACTTCAATGTTCATGGCTTCATGTCTTCGCTGGCTGTCACCTAACTCAATGCAGCTCCCAAGCTCAACTAAATGGCTTCCAACTGTGAAATCACTCACAGTGCACAATCAACTCCTTACATAACCTTGGCACAGACCACATATAAAATGCCTCTCCCAACAGTTCTTCTACTGTAACATCGTGTGGCTATCACTCAGACTGCATAGAGAACACCATTCCTATGCTGCTGTTTAGTCATTACCTACCAACAGCTGTTATTTAAACAATAATTATTTAGCAATGGGTCTACATGCTATAACAATCCCACGTGTTCGTGAATAGACACTGGGTTTGGATTGATAACTGAATTCATTGAACACTTATAATTTGTAACTACAAACAATTATAAAACTGTCACTAATCTACACACTCTACAAATAGCTACTGCAAACACTAAGTTTTGACACAGGTCTCCACTAGTTGTTGCTTTGTAGCGTTGTCTAAAGATGCAACTCAGACTCTTATGACTGGTAACCACCAACTCCAGTTTCCAGCTTCTGACTGGCTAACCTTTCCCCAGTGGTCAAGATATGGTCCCAGAATGGACCACACAGCAAGGTGTCCAACAACTCTGCCACTGTTGCCATAGCATTTAACAAGCCGTTACCTAGCAATGGATGCCTTTATTTGTTCCACAATTGTGAATTTCGGCTGTCATGTCACAGTATCATTATTCATATGATGTACTATTTCAGTTCTTACTTAATATTATTAGCCTACGTTCATTTCCCCCAAAAAATAGTTCTTTGAGATCATCATGCAGTCTGAGTGCAGATATTTTCCTCCCAACGTTGAACCGAATAACCAATTTTGTAAAGTCTGGTATGAATGTTATGTCACCGGTGTTCACCCAACCTCACATTTAGATAGGCACATGTACAAACACGTGTAATGCAAAAGGTAAAGTCCCTACACTTAACTAATTAAGCACTATACCATGAAGGCATATGGGGAAGTGGGTGTATAGGTCCAAGCCCCAGCCGCCTTACCCCCCAAGGAAAGAGCCCCAGTACCCGTTGGATAGGAGTTTGGTTGGACAACTTGGAGAAAAGAAATTTCTTGACCCTTCCAGGACTTGAACTCCGACCCCTCGGTCATCAGCCCATGGCCAGTCACTATACCGACTACACAACTCCAGCCGACAAACATGTGTAGTAACAGTAATACAAACATAACCTAATTTCCTGAAATTATGAATGGCAGATCTTCAAATAATATACAACTTACCATATTTACTTAAAAAGTAAAGCTATCCCTGTAACAGGCCGTTTCCTGGTACTCATTTCTGTTAGAGGCTGAGTCGACCCCAGGACCACAGCGGGGCTGGAAGAATTAGGTCAACTGAAGAAAATCCAATGACCTCATCGAGACTTCAACCCGCAACCTTCCGGCTTGTAGCATAGTGCTTCAACCAACTATGCTACCACGTGCCCCATCATATTTACTTACATAACTTAAAACACAATATAGTTATCACAAATATGTACTCTACTCCTGGAAGTCTGTACCATGGCAAAGTAGGTTCTACCCAGAACTTCCTGCACACCAGTATGTTTTGGAACACATTAATTCTCATCATCTTTACAATTCAACTTAAATTATCAAAAACCATTATTACTTAAATATTTAACTACATACTACCCAGAACTTTCTGCACACCAGTATGTTTTGGAACACATTAATTCTCATCATCTTTACAATTCAACTTAAATTATCAAAAACCATTATTACTTAAATATTTAACTACATACTTTCTTCAGCAACAGAAAACGCCAGTTCCCTTACACTGTAGATTCAAATCTGCTATTGCACTATCAATTTAGAAATTATTTTATCTTGTTATCTGTTACCTATATATAGAAAAGAGTGAAACAAAATTTGCAGATCTTATCAATCTGCTCTTTCAATGTAGCGGAACATAATAAAATTCAAGTAATCTACCCCTCTAACACAGTAAAACATAATCAGTTCTCTTTCAAATTTTAAATATCTATAGGAGAAAACTGGGCCGAGAGCACCCAAATTTAGTATTTTAAACAGAAAAGAAGGGCAGATAAGCTCTCTATTTATGTTATGTACAAATTGTTAGTATGTGTCATTTATCTGAATCAAGATCAAGTTTGATTTAAACTCAATGTATTGTTGAACTTACATCATTTTGAGAGATCTGACCAAAAATAATTTCACTATACAACTTTTAGTGTAGACCCCTGATACCAACCACCATCAAACTCTAAACCAGTAGTTACATATATGAATCTTGACAGACATAACTTACCATTTGTTGGCAAATGCAAGAATGATTTTTTTTTAACTCTGAGGTAAGAATTTAAAAAATTTCAAGAATTAAGATGAAAATGAGAATTTTCTCTACCAGAACAATTCTTCTCTGTAATCACAATTTATAACAATGGCCACCAATCTTCTCACAATGCACAACAGTGTGATACTTATTCCTCTTGATTTCAGGTCTCTTTTTAATGAAAAGCTTTCACAAATTACTTCACTTAGGTAATGTACATGATACTGCACAAGGAATTAGCAGTTTTCTGAGAACTGCCAAAGACTACACCCAAAAAATTAACATTTGAACAGAGATCAACATTTTATTTTGGTACAGCCTAAAAAATTCAGGACTCTCATATGCCAAATTTATGTACTTTGTGCAAAGAATGAATAATACAAGTATCATTTGTGTATCTTAGATATTAAAATTGCAGCATCATACATCCTTGACAAAAACAACTGCAGCTTTAATACCAGAGAGATTTAATGATATTCCTTCGATCAAATGTAACTGTGCTACAAGTTATGAGTGAAACAAGCTTAGATTCTGAATCATAACTGCGTAGTCATTAACATACAGTAACACCACAACAAACTTGATCCTGCTCTTAAATAAATTTGGTCAACATACTGCTGACCACAGAAAGTCTATACTACTTAGGTGAAGTGGTCTTCAACGATATGCTGTTCATACACAATTCCATGAAATGTATATCATCCAGCATGACAAGAAATGTGCAGCGCATGAACTGGAATTAGGTATGGAAACAAGACCATAAAACATTGTCATGTATTTAGTGATTAGACATGGGGTTTGTATCGGTAACTGGATTTACTGGAATCTTAACTCGGAAGTACAAGTAACTGTAACATTTTCACTAATTTACATGCCCATGATTTATTTAATCCGTCTTGCAGTGCATACACTCATTTATTTCCTTCTCTTTCCTTAACACACACGCAGTCGCAGGAGCACGACACAACAAAAGCACAACACACAAGATAGTGAAGGAGTGCTCCAACAAAGGAGAATGGGCGTGACTGACGTAGTGAGGGGCGACGTAGCGATATGGTATCCTGAACAATTTTAATATTTTTAACGTTTGACAATGTATATGATAGATACATATTTTAGTTATTTTAATGTGTGAACATGGCATGCAATGAACTGGTTTGACGTGGATAAGTAAGCACCTGAAGATGGCATTATTATGCCGAAACATGTAGTGCGAGGGAGAGAAGGAAATAAATGAGTGTATGCACTGCAAGACGGATTAAATAAATCATGGACTTAAATCAGTGCAACAGGACGCTAAAATATAACATTAATTTACATGCTTTACAATTCAATATAGCATGTGCCAAGTCTTCTCAGTTTGCTGTGTCTTCACTGGTTGTTGCTTGGTAACGGCTCTCAATGCCATATATTCCTTAGCTCCAGCGTTCTGTCCTTACTGGCCAAAGACTGTCTCGTAACTCAACTCTTCATGGCCGAAACTCCTGGCCACTGAATTCTAGGTGTGTTTGGCCTCCAATGACTACCACTGGCTAGCACTCACTTCAGCCTCTTCTGCAGCCTGATAACCACTTCCTACTCAACTGAATGTTCGTCAATTTCAGTTCTCCAGATACAGACTTGGGGCAGATCCCACAGAAAACACTGCTTCCAACATATCTTCTATTGATGCATGTGCATATCCATTGTCAAGGCAACGTGTTTAGAGAGCCACTGCCTTGCAACAGGCATCTCTTCTAGTTCTGCTACTCTGGCTTCGAGTCCTCACATCGCAATATTTATAAATTTTGCACAAAATGTTTCTTAATACAATGAAATTCCATTTTAATGGTCCTCAATTTGAAGTTTTCTTTCATTTACTGTTCAGTTTCAGTAACTCCAAGTCAATAATCTCAGTATTAAATTTCTTCTATTTAAGCTTCTCTTTGCTTCAGTGTTCAGATCCTTGGATCCCCAAAGAATCCATAAACATGAGCACATTAAAAACTGCAAATTTTCCATTTCACAACTTCCAGATAGAAATCGTTATTAGTGGAAACTGTTTACTAGAAACAGATCAAGTTACATAAGCAATAAGTCATTAATTCCCACCAGCCTCTCTATGTAAATGAAAGGATATGAAGGTGAGCATGCACTTCCTGAACTTCATGTCTGTTGAAAGTATTGCCATTCTTTCATTTTAAACAAATTATGCAAGTCAAGGGAAACCTTTCTGTTTATTGTTGCACCCTGTGCAGACCAAATGCTCCTCCAAGGAACAATGGTTGAATAAAAGGTGCTTAATCCTTACAATATGGGAAATAGGGGATTTAAATCTCATATACCACAGGGATGGACAACACTTTTAAATGTAGGCGGGGCAAATAATGGTATTAATATGCTCATTATCTTTAGAAACATTCCTGCTAAAGCATTCCAATCAAAGTATTTGAAAGAAAATATTTCACCAAATACAGTATCATTATTTCTTTACCACTATAAAGACTGTTTGCAAGGAAAAAAAGTTCACAGATTCCTGAAATAAAAGAATATTTTATGTATATAAACCCCAATGTACACAGCACTTATATTTCTGGAAATTTATTTATGTATTTACAGTTTACTTCATAAGGCTATCGATAGCACAAACTATAACACTGAATGGTTAGATGATTACTAAATGACGAAAAGGAAAGGATGTTACAGGATTAAGCCATGGCCTACTTTGAGGTGCTATCCCAGCACTTACTCTGAAGGGACTGGGGAAAACCACAAGAATCTTCAGCCAGGATAACTGGTGCCCCAGACATGATTCAAACTGGGCACTTCCTGAATACAGCTTAGAAGCATTACTGCCTGAGCCACTTTTCTCAGTCATTTCAGCAAATGTTTTCCTTCCCATGTTGTGACAACTCTTAAGACTTAGGTCAATATTAGAGTCAATTTTACCGACCACACAACATATTTTTATTATTATTACACTACATGTTTCGACCAAAATATTTGTGTGGTCGGTAAAAATTGACTCTAATATTGATTAAATACACAACAGGATGCAAGAAACAATTAAAGTTAAGACTTAGGTGTTTACCTTTATGGTAAATAGAAAAAATAGGACCGCAAATGGGCTGACTTTAAACTCAGAGAACAGAAAGTTGATAGTTTTTTTTGTTTCTTGTATAAGTACAAAACACAAGGATAATCCCATACATGGTTAATGCTCAGTGTATCATGCTGCAAGGGAAGTCATTTCACTGGCTTGTGGGTGTGGTTCATATTTTTCTACCACAGAAATAAAGACGCATCCATTCAATAAAGCTATGGCTTAGTTAATGTGGATATGTATTCATTCATTCATTCATTCATTTTCCTTTATTTTCCATATATCTATACAGGCAAAAAACCTAAGATGTAGAAATAGTCCCTTTGATAATAGATGTATACATGTAATAAATTACATAAGTCACAAAACTAAAATAATAATAATAATAATAATAATAATACACACACTAGTCAAGTAACATAGGCAGTAGAAAAAAAAAACAA